GTTGAGGACGAGAATTCGCCCCCTGCCCTGGGTGGATGTGTGGGCGGCTGTCTGGGTGGTTGCGTGGGCGGGTGCAGCGGAGGCGACAGCAGTGACCTCGACCTTGGCGACGACCTCTCCGACGACACGCGAGACTCAACCTCCGACGACGACCACGGCGACGACCCCTCCGGCGGCGCGAACCTCTCCGGCGGGAACCAGAGTCGCCGCTTCCTCACTTGGCGTCGGTCCCAAGGTGCGCGAAGGCTTGGCCAGGGCGGGCGGTAAAGGTGACGTCACAGGCGAGAGAACAACGGGGATGTTTACGAGATGTTCACAAGTGTTTACGAGATAGTTTGTTCACAAGATTGTTTACGAGATAGTTTAGCCGCCTTGGACGTATCCTCTACTCATGCTCGCCTAAAATGCCCGCTCGTGACAAACACTTGGTTCCAACCTAATTTCACTGTGCTCTTGTCTTATGGTTAAATGGTTTCGTTCCTATTGTAGCCTCGGCGGAATGGAGAGGCTAATCTGCCCGTGTCATTGGTTAGTTTAAGAGCGGTCAGCACTGATAGATTGTGATGAAAGTCCATGAGTATGATTTATGGAACAACATTATGCATTTTCATAGGATTATTTACCCAGGTTTGTGCTGCTTAATTATCTCATCACCATCATCATTAATTATCATATCATTTCACCATCATCCGTCATCAATATTATTATCTGCAGTAGTTGTGATGGTGGAAATATGGTTCATGCACATGTATAGCCTATAGAGCAGTGTCAAAGTCTTTGGCATCGTTACCCCTTTGCCTTTCCTCTTCATTTACGTGTATTTAAAGAAAAGACACATATCAGAATGATTGAATTTAATGCGTTATATATGCAAGAAATAAATGCTAATCGAACTTAAACGTTATTCCTTTGAAACATAATTAGAATTCAAACATTGTTCTGTTTCATAAATCGGAATCAAAGCATAATTTTGTAGGTATTTGAGGGAAATATGACAACTGTATCATTAGAGGAAAACGATATTATTTGTCCTTTAATAAAATATCAATACGAGGATATGCAAAGGGCAGTGCACATCACATATCAGCATATCCGTCTTTTAGCTGTTTCCTGTTTTGATTTTAATGCAAACTCGAGCCGTTAAAGTAGCCTCGAAGCAGTTGTGGCAAAGAATACAAGCACATGAAGAGCTGTTTGCCAGAGAATGGGATATTCCTCCTTCAGTTTGACAGGAAAAAAGCCAATTCTTCAGCCTGGTTATGGTGATTTACTTCCATATCTTTTACCCTTTTATAACGCAGGAATTTCGAGATTTGCTGCTGTGTCCCTCACTTTGATCGCCTGTTCATGAACATTAAATAATTTATTTATCATGATTATTATTGTCACTATTTATATATTCATTTATCTATGTTTTTTTATCATCATTTGTCATTTGACCAATTAAGAAGACGATATTTCGAAAATGCCACGCTAACCACCCATAACAAACTTCATTACCCACATGGGGTTAATTACCCAAATTACCCAATTATGACCGTCTTCGCATGTTTATGGTGAAGCGAAGACGGTCATAATTCATATAAGTGTTTATGGTTTGGACGCAATAACAGTAAGCAAAGATCAATTTCGTTAATGTTTTATAAGGCTTTAATAATTATGACTGCTATCAGCGTCTATGTTATCTCGGTCATTACTGCTCCTATTTTAAAATGTATTTACATATACTGTTTAGCTAAACCATATGTGTCCATAAAAGTTCATATTTTCTTGGTGTGATAACATTTTTTCACGCGTAGTATTTGTTACGTTCTCGTCTTTCATACGTTTCTCTATCCGTCTACATTTCCCCACGGCATGTAAATACAAGGTGGAAATCCACTGTCTTGTATAAATTAGGATATGGAAGCCGAGGATCAAAATATATCAATAAATACGAACATCACTACTGTAGCATTTATAACAACATCGCGACACATTCCTACAACCATTAACTCGACCCTGTTCTTTCAGCGTCCACGTGCGACGGCAACGAAGCGAGCGACGGCGGCGTGGTCCTCGAGGTCGGCCTTGGGGAAGCGAACGAGGAGCGAGGTGTCGTGGGGCACCATCGCAACATCAGGAAGGTCTTCACCAACACGCGGGAGCGCTGGAGGCAGCAGAACGTGAGCGGAGCCTTCGCCGAGCTGCGCCGCCTCGTGCCCACGCACCCGCCCGACAAGAAGCTCTCGAAGAACGAGATCCTCAGACTCGCTATAAAATACATCAATCTTCTCAACTCTGTTCTCGAGTGGCAGCGTCGGCAGGATGACGCGTTTTATCCCCCGCACGACCAGGATAATTGCAACAACAACACCAGCAACAGCAACAACAACACCAGGCGAAACGGGACTGTGCTGAGCAGCGGGAACGGCCAGCGCGGGTCTCCGCTCTCCCCGCGCGAGGCCTGCATCGCAGCATCGACAACCTCCCTCCGCTACCGCCACCACCTCCACCGACCTTCCTCCCCGCAGTCTCCGGAGTCGCCCTCCTCCCCTCGTCCCCTCCTCCCTCCTCCCTCCCTCCCCTTCCTCTTACTCCTCTCCCTCGGTGGCGCTCCCCCGCCCCTCGCCCATCCCCATCACGCACTACTCCATCCCTTCCTCCACCGCCACACTCACTTCCCCGGCCACGTCTCCGCGCCCGCACGCCTCCTCCACGACGTCGAGGGTCATCTCCCCGCCTCCCGAAGAAGGCCCGCAGAGCACGGCGGCGCGATTTCACCCTTACGTGCTGGCGGTGCGGGTGCGGCCGGGCCTCACGCTCCTGCACCCTCAGGCCAAGTGAAGTCGGAGAGGAATCTCAGCTTTTACCGAATGTTATTACTCTACGTCTGTGAAACTGCCAGTATATATTAACATTTACGTTCATATGTAAATATAATGATGTCCAAAAGTCTCTATATAAAAAAAAACAATCCAAAAAATAACATAATATAGTAGTATCATGACAGCAAAACAAAATATAAATTTTCTGCTTTGGTTGTGTTGAAAAAAAGAATCATTACCGCCGTTCAGATATACTGTACAACCAACGAGTCGTGAACTTCCTTGTGATAATCGGAATAATGTTATTGTTTATGTAACCTTATCTACGCTCGATAAGAGTAATACGTCTATAGTGATACCTCTATCCAGGTGAGTAATTTATGTTTGCGAACCGATATGGATGGATGTTGTAGATAAATGTTCTGTCTTAAGAATTACTGTGGTCAGTCGCCTATATTATAAACCTGTATACCAAAGAATAGTTTCTTTATTCCATTACACTTGCAGCATGTTTTATACAGTGAATAATATTAATAAAATAATTACAATGGCATTTAAGGATTACTTATATTAATTATAATTGTAGCAGTGATGATAGTAATGGTGATTTTGATAAAAATTATGATAATGAATATGACAAAACAAATGAAAATAACTAGTAGAATAATAATGACAAAACAAATAAAATAACTATCAGAATAATAATAATAACTATTAAAATACTATTGATGACTAGTAAAATAATAATGTTCAAATATTGTCTTAAACTAATGATACTGGTAATAACTATAAAAAAACAATAATATAATTATCATAATAATAATGAAAGTAATAATAATAATAATAATGATAGCAATACAACAGTAATAATGTTAATAACGCAACAATAATGACAGTAATTACGAAATAATAATAAAAAGACGACAAAAAGATAATAGTAACACAATAGTAATGTTATTAAGAAAACAATAATGTCAATAATAAAATGATGATGACGTTGACGATGACGATAATATTAAAGATAACAATCATTATTAATGATAACAGTCATTATTAATATTGTTATCACCATTATCATTGGCATCATCACCATTACCATCATTATCATCAACAATCATGTAATGACAACAATAACAATATGAAAAAAATGTATCGTATTAATAATAATAATAATAACAACAACAACAACAACAACAATAATAATAATAACAATATAATAATAAAAACAATAATATAATAATAAAATAATAATAATAATAATAAATAATAATAAATAATAAAATAATAATAATAATGAATAATAATTAATAATGATAATAATAATAAATAATAATAATAATAACAATAATAATAATAATAATAATAATGATAATAATAATATGATGATGATGATAACAACGATAAATAACACAATAAATGATGATCTTAATGATAATGACAATGATAATAACCATAATAATAATAGTGAAAATAATAATAACGATGATAACAATAATGATAATCATAATAATAATACAATCACCATTACTTTCAAAGTTCCAAAAACATGATGTGATTTTAACGTTTATTTACAACGGAATTTCTAAAATCCAAGGACACTGGAAACGCCAATTTAAGAGTTCAAATTATATACATCTATACACTACAAAAATGTGTGCTTTTACAAACAGATGATCGCAGTATACCACCACGTGCATAAAATTTCAAAACCATGCTTTCTTAAATTGTTTTCATGTAGCGTAGAAATTCGGACACGAAGATGAATCTAAGTACTTACAGAAGTCCTTATTCATCACAGATCTAGATACAGTTTACCGGTCAGTCTATCGTTACACGTGAAATGCACAGAGGAACCTGAAAAGAGCCGATACAATCTGGAAAAAAACAGGTATGTATATCTTCGCCCCCTCCACTTACTTACACACCTGCAGGACCGTCAGAGATTGCGAAAGGGAACTACGAAAATACGAAAGAAATACGAGAGATAAGAATGAGAAAAGACAGGAGTAGCGACCATTTTAATCCGTTCTGTACACATTTCACTCTGAAAGGTCAATATCCGATCTGTTGTGTTCGACCTTGACCAGCAGCATCAGGAGGACAGGTAGCGAACACGAGAGCACCAGCGTGTATGTTATCCACTCGTAACCTGCGAGAGAGGAGGTAATCATAAGTGTCAGGCAGATAGATAGA